CCAACGGTGGCGGAGGAGCCCGAGGCGGAGACGGAGAGCCAACGAGCCAGGGGGATGCCGAGGATCCGGGGGGTCAGGGTGGAGCCGAAGGCTCTGGCAACCGAGGCGGAGATCTGGAGATCAGCGGCGGAGCAGAGCGACTGAGGACCAAGGTGGAGTTGGCAGGAGGAATGAGCCCAATGGAGCCAGTGGGACGGAGCGACGAGGTGCAGCTGGAGGAGTCCTGAGGCGATGGCGGGTCAACGCCCCCGACCAAGGCAGAGCCGGAGGGACGAGGGAGCCCGGTGGAGCTGGTGGATCGACGGGTGACGGTGGAGGCGAGGGAGCTAGGAGCCGAGGTGGAGCCGCTGGGTCTACGGGGAGGGCGGGCATTTCTGAGCCTCCGGGCATTCATGGCTAAACTCTGGATCGGGAGCCCCCTCTAGGCTGAACATGGGAACAGGATGGCGCTCTGGTATCGGGCCGATACTGAGCTCCTGTACTTGTACTCGTACTCGTTAAAATGCCCTGATACCAAACGCCAATACCACACAGCATGTGCTAAGTGCCATATTCAGACAAAGAAACACCGACAACAGAACAACAGACAGCAGAATGGAGTTATTAGAAATTAAGTATGTCTACGAAGTATATGTACGCAATGAATATAATGTTAAACATTCAGTATTGACTGTATAGCTGATGTGCGCGAGCTGATAAACAAAGCACGCAGAGTGGATTGAGCGCGCGGCGGCGCAGATGCGCGAGCTTGTCGAGTGAATATACCTTTCTCACAGACATCACGGAAAGTTGATAGTTCGATCAGATACGTCAAAAACATGTAAGTAAAACAATGCACAAGTTACTTAAAGGTGGGGGGGGGGGACCATTTATAGACCATTTATAGGGGCATTCACTATAAACATAATTTATTTTCAACCTTAGTCATACACGACTTTCTGGTGAAAGTGAATCTAGCAGCCTGTGTGAAATGCGCTAGGCTGTAGCCTACTACTTGTCCCTCTCATTCTGCACCAGTACAAATACGTGCACACGTTGTGCGTTTTGCGTGCTTGAGTGTTTGTGCATTATGCGAGTGGCTTTTGGTTTTGATTTTGACAAGTGAAGATTCATAGTAACTCAAGTAAAATGGGATCTTTGGTGTTCAGAAGTTATAAATCAACTGTATGTTGTAAGCAAAGACAGTCTGTGCAGAAAATACTGCAGGTTTTGACTTACAAATCCAAAATATATTAAAAGACTGAAATTTAAAGCACAGGTGCAGGACGAAGAATGAAAAAAAAAACTTTACTGTTGACTAATGCCACTAATGACAGTGCTTTTTATTAAGGGACCAGAAACATGAGTAAAATATTCAGCTACAAAAAGTAAGGTATTCAAATTTGAAGTGAAACGCATCAACACACGCATGCCCACATCATCCTAGACAACACAGCCCATACAAAGAGTTGCATGCATCCACCAAACATTCTCGTTCAGTTTAAGCTCTTTCCTCCCATTACAAACCCCCTACTTTCCTCTCTCTCCACTTATTTCTCCTTTTAGCATGAAAACACACTTGCTTTTATTTTTGCGCTTTTCTCTTTTAATGTGAGCTGCATGTTCGGCCTCTTTTTCTCCTCCTCAGTGTGTCTGTGCTCTATAATTACGGTAGTTTCTACCTACTGCGCCAAAGAGCGCCCACCCCTCTTCCTCCACTCCCCGAGCGTCCAAGTCTCCCCATGCTTAATGTGACACCGTCAGTCAAAGCCTTTGGAGAGCAGCCGAGCAGAAATCAAAAGACAGGGATGAAGTGTAAGGGACAAAGAAGACAGTGGATTTGATAAACACAGAGAGAACCTGCAAGTTACCTGACAAGCGCCCTCTGCGCACAGAACCTGGTTCCTGCTGCTTTTCAAGGTGTAGGGAGTGTTTGCATCTCTGTATTCATCCGAGAGTGATTTCACTAAATGAACTGAAGGAAAGCAATCCGTGTGACTCCTGCCAAAGTCCAACCTGTTATTTTGTGTCATCGAGTAAAAGACTGAAGAGATAGGAAGTTAGTTTGAGGAAGAATAAAAAACACACACACTTTGATACAGTTAGTAATTTCCATTTACTCATGCATGCTTTAAATGTGAAACTTTTCAACTAAAGTTTAGTTAGTTCAGTGTTCCCTCACCTTTTTTGTATGCATCCACACAGTTGAATCAGTAGGACTCCAGTACCCCTTCATCGACACCACACCAGATATGTTTAGACTGATATCTGTCATTTACATTAATGAGAAGACCATCAGAGCACTTCCTGTGGCATGAATATTTCGGTTACATATGTAATATTAAGTCCTTAAAGTGTGGAGTAAGTTGTCATATTTACCTAACACTGATTTGCAAGCACAATGGAAAATGCCTGTGACTACTGCAGCATTTCTGCTAAATGATATATGTATTCAAGTCATGTTGGAAAGATCGTAATTACGAGTTATATGCCCATGAACATCACCACAAAGTTGTAATAATGAGTGAAATTTTCTTTGCGTCCAGAGTTTCCGAGTTGTGGGCGTGTCAGTGAAAAAACATATCGGACAGATGCAGTGTCTGTATGAATGAAAATTTAAGTTGCATGTACAAACCCGATTCCAAAAAAGTTGGGACACTACAAATTGTGAATAAAAACAGAATGCAATGATGTGGAAGTTTCAAATTTCAATATTTTATTCAGAATACAACATAGATGACATATCAAATGTTTAAACTGAGAAAATTTATAATTTTAAGGGAAAAATAAGTTGATTTTAAATTTCATGGCATCAACACATCTCAAAAAAGTTGGGACAAGGCCATGTTTACCACTGTGTGGCATCCCCTCTTCTTTTTATAACAGTCTGCAAACGTCTGGGGACTGAGGAGACAAGTTGCTCAAGTTTAGGAATAGGAATGTTGTCCCATTCTTGTCTAATACAGTCTTCTAGTTGCTCAACTGTCTTCGGTCTTCTTTGTCACATCTTCCTCTTTATGATGCGCCAAATGTTTTCTATGGGTGAAAGATCTGGACTGCAGGCTGGCCATTTCAGTACCCGGATCCTTCTTCTATGCAGCCATGATGTTGTAATTGATGTAATAATACATTGTGAATAAAATATAAGTTTGAGATTTGTAAATTATTCCATTCCTTTTTTACTCACAATTTGTACAGTGTCCCAACTTTTTTGGAATTGGGTTTGTACAAAATACCAGTTTATTGTACAATTACAATTACAAATATGTAACGATTCAATTTACAGCACATTCATAAATTAAATTAAAATACAAAAAACTCTGATGTGCATTCTTTAAAAAAAAAAACTCGTAGTATTTTATGTAAATAAAAGTACATCTGAATTTGATTTGAAATCACCTGATGTCATAACTATGACTTCCCAACTCTTAAATATTAACTTTCCTGGAGGACTTGAATGTTAAATTGAGATACTTACAAAGTGAAATGTCCCGTGAGTGGCGCTAAATGCATGTTCAGTTGTATTGGATCCAAAACAGATAAATATAAATCTGGCAATGTTTTATTGCAATGTTGTATGTATCACAACAGCTCGGAAATGAATGTCTGATGAGTGGTTTTAAAAAGTTAATACTCCGTTGCGTGTGAAAATAGTGTGCCACCTATATAAACCCTACCCTAAACCAGCCGATAGTGTTAAGAAAAAAACGCATTTGCTGAGGCAATCATGATATTTTAGCTTGCTTCTACAAGTCTTTTGAGCTCATCTCTGAGCACTTTGCAGCAGTGCTGTACCAGGTGAGCTACCGAGCACGTTTACTTTGAAAAGTCACACATATGGAGCTCGTTATGTGATGCATACATCAAAGTGTATTAATTTACAAATCATACTGTAAAGAATCAGTCCACTGAAGGCGAGCGTAGTGACAACCCAAGTGCAGTTTATTTACAGAGTGATCCAAACAATAATCCAAGACACAGACTTGAACAGACATAGCATGAGCAGACTTGACACAAACAGACTAGACTCACCAAAAGCGGGTTAAATACATTCAATACACGACCAAAGCACAATGGGAACATGAAGGCTACTTATAGCAGACAAGGAGGGTCACATGACATGAACAAACCAATGGGGAACAAGACACATGACTAAGACTACCAATCAGAACATGACACATACACAAGGCAGAGAGACATGAGGCAAGGGAAGCATGACACTAACATGGACCATGAAACAATTACAAAATAAAAGACATGGAAAACATGAACATGAAACAAAACACCACATTACACATGCATTATGGTAAAAGTGTTTTAAAGGTCATAACATAGCATTGTGCAATGAACTGCACAAAAAAGCTCTTTATTATTCAATATACTAAAATCATAATTTCTTTGAAAAGGAATACAAGTTATTTGTGTTTTACTGACACTAGTGATAATTTCAGCTGAGAACTGTATGTGTTGGTACGGTTAAATGCAGATAGAGGCACATTTTTCCAATGAGTAACAATTGTGTTGCAACTTTGTCTGTGTGTTTAAATCGAGTTTGACAAATATTGAGTCTTTGTTATTTTATAATTTGATATTTATTGCTTTTAGATGTGCTTAGACAAGAACAGGACAGAAAGTTGTAATATTGTGGGGAAAAAATAAAAATATGAGTGAAATGAGTAAAGAGCCAAACATCTGTCTGGTGGCTTTAAATGCACATATATTCACAATCTATTGATGGTCCTAATAGTTTTAAGTCATAAATTCTCTCTCTTTCCCCTTTTCAGTTTTAGAAAAAGCAAAATCAAAGGCTTTAAAGTATACATACCCCTGGTTGGGAATCACCTCAAGAGATGACCATCAGATAATCCTGTGCTCTTCAAATGGCCATTGATTTCTTTAATCTGCCTATCATTTACACAGGGGCAGGTCTGCCAGCTACCAAACACTAAATCACCTCTGTGTAAGATTAGTAATTCTGACACATATGTTACTTGTCTGCCTTTCAAATAGGTGAATCTCACCTCTCCCTCTGTCTCAGTGCTCTCTGACAGCTGGGCTGGAGCCTGAGGACAGGCTCTCTCAATGGAGACTTTCACTGGGCCCATCTGTCCCCTTCTGTTCTGCACCTCTCAAACACACTGCCTGAGGATAACAGAGCACAGCTCTTCACCTTCAGCACACACATAATCTGGACAACATGAAAACTTGTATGAAAGAATTGTTATTTTAATAAAATGCAATAATATTTTATTTAAGTATTTAAGTATATAAGTATTTACCATTAATTTATAAAGTTATATAATCAATAGAATTATTTACAGTTCTATTATTTATATTTTAAAATGATAAAAATAATATTTTTTTATAATAAACTACAAATCTATAATACAACAACAGGTATAATAATAATTAATGATGATAATAATAATAAATTATTATTATTATTGTTGTTATTATTGTTTTATATAAAATTATACTTATAAAATAACAACAAAACAACAATAAAATATTATTATTCTTATTATTAAAAATAATAATACAATGATAATACATTATTATTAGTAGTACTTATATAATAATAATATTAATAATTATAAAGTATATTAAATGCATTATAATATATAAAATAATGTTTATTAAATATAAAATAACAGCAACAACAAATAATATATTTATTATTGTTGTTGTTTTCATTGTTGTTTCATATAAGTATTTTTTAAATACTTTTTTAAAATATGAATTTAAGACTACATATTGACTTCTCTGGCAGTGATAAGTTAATCATAATTTGGCTTTAGTGCGAGAGAATGAACTGGATTCATCTTCATCCATTACACTGAGAAGCCGCAATGAGACACGAGCAATAAGACACAAATTAACTCTCTCATTGCACTCACAAATTCATAAAGGCATCAAAAAGGAGCAAATCAGGGGAAAAAAATATTTAAAAAAAGATCACGTCTTGGTGACAAAAATGATCCCCCTTCACATTGACAGGCGCCCCCGCAGTTTGCCCCCCTTTCTTTTCTACTCATGCAGCCGTTAAAAGGCATCTGTCATTATGGCCCCGCTGAGGGGCAGACAAGTCCACTCTACTCTCGGGACCCGCCGTGAAAATCTCCAGCTTCCCCATGGCTGAGCCGAGCTTGACGCGAGTAAATGACAGGGTAGGGCCCTGTTCGGCCGCGCGGCATCCAGGGGCACTGCGCTCCCGTAACCCTGCAATTAAACCTCTCCTGCAGAAATGGGAGGGGGCAGTGTTAAAGGAGGGGGACAACACAAAGAGAAAGTAAATCAAATGAACATTTAAGTGCAAAAATGAAGCTCATAGCGAAGAGACCAAAAAAAGAGGCTGCATATTCCAAGGATGTGAATAAGAGCAAGAGAAATAACGCCACTTTAAGGTTTTTTTCTCTTAACTTCTTTTTTTGTAATCATCCCATCCCAACCATTGAGGAAAGACACAAACTACGTCCACCCTGAATGTTGTCGACAGTTAGCGCTCCAGACGGGGTCAAGATGGGTGTGTGTGGGCTGTGCTAAGTGCTGTGTTTGGTTTTAAAGGATGTGGGCTTGTGGTGTAAGTGCGCTACTGGGTGTATTGTGTTGAGTGTAAAAGGTCTGTGTACAGTGGCTCAGTGGAGTGGGGAGTAATTCACTGCTCCACACCTCCCCAAAAATGATATCCTCCATTGTGTCATTTGAACAACTGAAACCAAGCAGGACACAAATAAGTTCTGCACTAGATCGTTCCAAATGGAGGGTCTGCAAACTGTTCCACTCTCAATGCCCTGGGGACTATGAACGAGAACAGAGACCATCATTAGATCAGAGAGATAAACAACTGGCATGGGAAGAGATGCTTAAGGGTTCACCTTGAGGTCTGTGTTTAAAAGTCCAAGACAAGACTGTGTGACCGATGTCATTAGCCAATAAATCAGGGGCCGGAACTGCACATCAGAATGAATTAGCAAGCTCATCAGTCAATCAATTAGTAAGGTCTTGATGGTCATGAGATAAATAAAACCAATGAGGGCCAAGTCAATCATATCAACACCTTGGCCAACCACATTGTGCATGATTGTTCAAGTTCTCCAGGGAAGTCCTTACGGAAATCGTAATTACGATTTGATATGGGTTCATTTTTTCTTCCGACCAAGAAGCATTTTAAAGTCAGCATGAAATTCACTCTATTTGTTTTTTAAATGCATCTTAATGATCTTGTTGTAAATGATTCATCCATACATTTGTTCCTTTTTTTTTCTTCATTTGTTTCATCTCAATCTTACTTCTCTCTGGTGGGATCAGACTTGTCCAATCATTTAGTCAGATTTAACCCCACAATCGACTGCAATGTTGCATTCAGAACGGCTTCCATCCTAACTGATGGATAGTAAGCACCAAAATCTCATGGAAGAAAATATCTGTTTCTATTTCTTTTACACTGAGATTTTAAAGGGGTCCTTTTATGCTTTTTCACTTTTAAAATTTTAGTCAGTGTGTAGTGTGTATGTTTGGGCATAAAAAAGATCTAGAAAGTTACAAATCTCAAAGTCCACTCCAAAGGGAGATATTTTGTTTTTAAAAAAATCACTTTTCAAGAACTACAACGAACGGCTCGTTTGGACTACAGCGTTGGTTTTCCGGGCTTTGTGATATCACAAAGCGGCCCATTAGAATATCATTAAAAATAATTCCCGCCTAGAGAAATTCGCATGGTTGGGGGGTGGGGAGGGGCGAGGTTGTGGTTAGAACTCTTGGTTGAGTGAGTGCATCAGACGAGACGACGAAGAAGTGCTGCTGCAGAGTTAGTGCATCAGAGAAAACGAAGAAGAAGAGCTGCTGTGCTGTAGCGTAAAATTTTCGGCATGTTTTGAACAATTCTTACAAGTTCAACACGACGTAGCTGGGCACCACGGACAGACCCCGAATGCCTACCCTCATAGAAAATATTAAAGATGTGGTGCGACGCAACGCTTCTCGTCCGGTGTGCGACCACCTGAAACGCTGTTTTTTTCACCTCCGTGCCCAAACGTCTTTGTTTGGGCTTCCGAAAGGGGATGATATCAGGAAACAGTGGTTGCAATTTATTTTTTAACTCTGTCCCTGAGCATTATAACCCCAATTTGCTATTGTGTGCTGTGCATTTTACTGAGGACAGCTTCCACAACATGAGGGAGTCCAGTGCGGAGCAAGACGGAGCAAGGGGCGTGGCAGTAATGAAACACTGTCTAAGCTGTTTGCCAATCATAACGCCAGGATGGGGAGAAAGGTATTTTAATAATGTAAATTATGTGAAAAATAATGCGTTTTTCGAAACACCAAGCATGAGAGCATGTTCTATTACACCCCCAAAACAAAATCAAGACTTTGTAAAAGAGCATAATAGGACCCCTTTACGGTTAATTCAACAAAATAAAGAGCAATTATGCACATTGGGTGTGTAATAGATGCTTTAACTGTGCATTTTATCATTCTTGTGATGCCACAGAGAATGATGGGAACCAGGGGTCAGTTGCACAAACATAGCTACTATGTAAAGACTGTCTTAAGAACTAGTTTGACCAGCTAGCAGTTAGCCAATGGGTAATCAGTCTTACTTTCTATATTCAAATTAGACCAATCTACAGTTTGTATCTGACTTAAAAAAATTATGACCAGTCAAGAAAAAAAATTAGGTGACAACATTTTTAAGACTAGTCTAAGCGGTTTATGCAACCGGCCCCTGGAGTTTGTCTTCTCACAAATCAGCTAAACAGTAAAGTCTTTTGCCAAACGCTTTCGCTAGCACACCAGTGCTATTATTGTTAATAACTAAAATGAAAACATACTATTAAGTGAACTAAAAATACAAAAACAAAGACAAAACTGAAACTAGACCATTTTCATGACTTAAAAGTGACTGAATTAAAAGTCAGCCACAAATAATTTTGATTTTAGTTTGATTCTAAAACGTGGAATGCTTACAACCCACCTGCATTAAATCTAACAATAGACTGTGTGAGAAATGTAATGACACTTACCATTTTTTTAGTCACCATGAAATCAGAAATTACCATTTGTATTGATATTTTAATGGAATATTTTGTTATTTATTGTGTTTATCTTTGCGCATCATGATTTTTTTAAATTCATGCGCACTCATAATCTTTAATGAAAAACATACACATTCCCTCCCCCCAAGGGCCAGAAGAGTTTTAATCACTTTCCTCCTGCAACCTGTCAACGATAGCAGAAACTAGCAAATGGCAAGGATCCACCAATCCAATCGAGAAGTAATTTTACTCAGATACATCACAATAGGCAATAGCAAGCAATCGTAATTTTCATTTCACGCCAACTTTAATAATACCAGTTAGTGGATTCACTTTGGCCACCCTAAAATATTAAAACCAAAACTAAAAACTAATTTTAAAATATACACTGAAAATTAAAAGGGAAGCAGAACCTCAAAACTATAATAACCCTGCATTTCACAACATGGGGTTGCATATGAATCGTGCAGTCAAAATTCACAATATCAACCCCAATTTGTTTCCACCTCTGATCTCGGAAACTCAAAGTTGGGTCAGAGGGTCCTATCAGAAATTACATCTTTATGGTGCCGTTCATTCATGCTCAGCTCATAAATACAGTCATTCCGCCCCAGCAGCATATGTACCTTGTGGGATTACACAAGGCTTTCAATAAACATACATAGAAAGTTGCACAGGTAGTCAGACATTTTCTTTCCCTCCCTGTAACTAAGAAAGAGCAGCATGGGCTTTGAAATGAACGTTTAAAGGCAGTTATAAAGAGAGAGGGGCGAGTAAGGTAAGTGTACCTCATTTAATTGCTCTCTTGGTGGCTCGACTCACTGGGAGAGGGCTCTTTTCAGCCTCTTGTGAGACTGCACAGCAGGGGCTCCGTAATGGAACAGGTAGAAAAGGCATTTATCAAATTTGCTTTTATTAGGAGGAGAATTTTAATAGACTGAGAAAAGGTAGACCTGCTGGGGAGAAAGCCGCCACTCTCTCAGACCTATCTTGGTAAATTAGAGGCTGCCAATGTCCACCGAGGGCTCCGCGGGCTTAGCAGATGACAGTCATCCACACAATAGTGAAGA